CGCGCCGTACGCGAAATCTTCAGCAAAGCCCGCGCAGCCGCGCCATCAATAATCTTCTTTGTCCGTCCACCACTTCTATCAATTCCACTCAACAATATCTAACCTGCGTTAATCCTGGTAGGATGAGATCGATGCGCTCGCAACATCGCGCGCCGCTTCCGACACGAGCGGCGGCGCGCACGAGGGCGTGCTCACCTCCCTCCTGAACGAGATGGACGGCGTGCAGGAGCTGGTGGGGGTCACCATCGTCGCTGCGACGAACCGCCCGGACGTCATCGTGAGTTTTTGCCCTTCATCTTCCCTCATCTAACCCTATCAGCTTGCGAGTTTGCTGTATGCTAACAACGTAAGCGCTGCAGGACTCCGCCTTGATGCGCCCCGGGAGACTGGACCGCATCCTCTACGTCGGCCCGCCCGACTTCGAGGGCAGGCTCGAGATCCTGCGCATCCGCACGCGCAAGATGAGCGTCGCGCCGGACCTCGACCTCGAGCAAATCGCCCGCATGGTACGTCCTCCGCTTTGTGCCTTCCGTCCTTCCGCCCCCACGGAAAGGTACCCGCGTCCACTTTGCCTTTGCTGATCATACCTTTGGTATATAGACGGAAGGATGCTCTGGGGCGGAGATGACCGCGCTCTGCCAGGAAGCGGCGCTGCTGACGATGAAGGAGGACATCAACGCGCCTTTCGTGAGTGTTCTTCCACATTTGGCCGCACCGCAGTCGCGGGGTATGAGCAAGTAGAGCTGACTCGCGGTGGTGCGACTTGTAGGTGCCCAAGGAGGCGTTCGTGAAGGCGGCGCAAAACATCAAGAAGCAGATCACGCCCGAAGTCGTCGAGACGTATGTCCGGTGGCGCGACAGGAACGGTGTGGCGGATGCTTGAGCCTACTAGTACCATGGTATGCGACAGCGCATACTGGTGCTAGCTGACTCTACGTCGATCAAGGAGTTCCATGTGGACATGGTTGCAAAGTGGGATATCGTGTAAGCAGCAGCAAGAAAGAAGTGTAGCAATACAATGTTGTCGCGCATCTACATGTGTATACGGTAGCGTCATTACAGCTAGACGATCTCATCCGCCCTCTCCCTCTTCTCAAGGCTTCCTCCATACAAGCCCTGCGATCCCGCCCCGTTCTGACTGTCATCCCTGCTCTTCCCCTCGTCATCCTCCGCCATGCCCTTCTCTTCTACGACGAGCACCTGACTCACCCCGTCCGTGCCCCGTTCAATATCCCCGTCCCCACCCACCTCCGACCCCGCGCCTTCCAAATCCCCAAGCTTCCTCGTCGGCACCCCCTGTGGGGCCTCTCCAGGAGCAGTAGCATCATCACCATCGCCTCCTCCATCCCGAAGCCTGCTCTTCCTGAGCTCGCAGCCACCCTCCCATCCGAGCCACGTGTAGCGCTTACAATGTGGCCCGCGGAGAAGGAGGACGAGGAGCGTGAAGCCCGTCCAGGCGAGGTTGAGCGCCGCGGTCGGCCGCCAGCCGTGCGTGTTGAACACCTTCGCGCCGACGGCGGTGCCCATGACCTGCCCGATGAACAACTAGGATCCCGAGTGCGCTCTGTCAGCACCGAACATACACGATTCGACAAGTGTGTGGGCGTACAGAAAGGATGAGCACGGCGTTGAGCCGCGAACGCGCGCGTGCGTCGAGCCCGAGCACAGCGGACGTGAGCGCGACCTGCTGTATCTGCCTGAATATGTCGATCCCGACGCACACGATCACGACGGCTGCGACGTTGAGCCCGGCGGCGGCGGTCTGCACGATGGACGTCACCAGAAAGCCAAAGATCGAGACGAGCGTCGCGGACCACGGGACGAGCCTGTCGATCGCGCGCCCGCTGAGCGGCGCCACCGCGACTCCGACCATGCCCACGAGACCGAAGAGTCCAATGACGATCCTGACAGGGGGGGGCAGCGGTGTATAAGCTGACGTGCCAGGGAAGCACAGGATCTGACTCACGTCGAGTAGTGGTACGGGTCATTTCCGAGGAGGAACGTGAGCGTGACCCACCAGCTGGTGAAGCATGCGCTCGCGGGGATGGTAATCAGGACTGCCTGCACGAGCAGTGGTTCCGTCACCGTGAACTTGGCCATGCTGTATAAGATGCCGAAGTACGTGACGCCCGTGTTCTTCGCGGGGTAGTCGGGGAGCATCCAGTAGAGCATGAGGAGCACGAAGTATTGCACACCGATGGCGATGTAGTAGACGACGCGCCAGGTGACGAACTGCGCGACGATCCCTGCGAGCACTCGAGCAATGAGCACGCCGAGTAGGAGCCCGGCGAGGACGTTAGAGAGTGCAGATGCGCGCCGGTGGGGCGGGGCGAGGTCCACGGCGAGGGGCATGAGAATCTGGGGTACTACGCTGAAGAGACCGACGAAGAATGACAAAATCTCAAATGCGACGAGGTTCTCCGTTATAGCCAGGCCAATGGAGAGCGAAGAGGTAAGGAAAGTGAGCAGGAGCAGGAGCTGTCGCCGTCGTACGAGATCTCCGAGAGGGGTAATGAACAGCAGCCCAATCGCATAGCTTCGATAGTCTGGTGAGAAACCGGCAGACCGAGCTCAGGAAAGGCACAGTCGTACTCACCCGGCCTGTATGAGGGTCGGAATGTTCGATACCTCTTGGTATGTGACACCAAACGATCGTGAAAATTGAACTATAGCGGTAGCAAGCTCATTCACATCACGCCACCGATGAATCATGAAGAGACGAGCGTACTGAGCAGCGGTTGACAGTAGTACAGATTTGCAACGACTGTAGTGCGGTCAACATTGCTGCGTACCAAAGGTAAATTGTAGACATACCAAAGGTACTAGCAAAACAGAAGGCAGCATTAAGGGCCAAGCCGTAGTGTGCAGGTCGTTCCGGGTCGTATCGCAACCGCCTGGGGACGGGTAGGAAGCCGAGGTCCCTTGAAACAGGCTCTGGCTCGTCCACTTTGCTTATCGAGAACTGTTTCTCGGGCGGAGGCAGAGTCTCGGAAGACAAAGCATTGTCGCGGTCGGCACAGTCGAGCTCGGGGGACATGGTGGCCTCGTAGTCGTGCTCGGCGCACGAGGCAGACTGGGGAAGTGAAGTCAGAGTGGGCGCGAGCGATGGAGGAGGTTATAAGCGTGCGGGTCCATTGGAGAAGCCGATAATGAGCGTATGTCATCGAATGCACACTCTTCGCGATGCACGACGTCCTCGCTGTCGGATATGGTAGACAGACTGTATCGGGCCATAAGTCGCCATCAGCCATCTCTATTCAGAACCCATCCGCGCACTACCACTGACCTGACAGCTCCTACATGGGCGCATCTGCTTCACGCTGATTGAGAAGCGTTCCGCTATGTTTCGTGCATTTGCTGGATGTTTGATACTTCGAGTTGTCCATAGGATCAAGTGCGGTGGATGACGACTTGACAGAAGACCACTGTCTTCTGAATCCCACGACCTTTCTTCCCTCCCAAAACGGGACACCGCACGCCTTAATCGGCTATGTCATTTACCCGGCCCGGATCCCGGTGACCATGTCGCCGGCTACCTGGCCATCCGCCACAACCCCGCATTCTCAGCTATGAACCTGTCCATTCTCGACTTGCACTTGCACCCCTCCTGTACATGCGAACATGGCTACTTTCCAGGTGGATAACCTCTTCAACGTCAAGGGCAAAGTGGTGCTGGTCACCGGAGGCAGCCGTGGCGTTGGCAAGATGGTGCGTGCAACAGTAATGTCCTGTGCAAAGACGTCGCGGCAGCACTGACCACGTTCCGTTACTCCGTCATATAGATTGCGACAGGGTTCGTCAAGAACGGCGCCAAGGTACGTTGGAAGCCTCGCGACCTGCGAGCTAAAGTCATATTCAGCCCAACTCCAACATCACCAGGTCTACATCTCATCTCGTTCAGCGAAGGACTGTGATGCCACCGCAAAGGAGCTCAACGCGCTCGGGCCGGGGACGTGCATCCCACTCCCCGCAGACATGCAGAAGCTTGAAGAGGTCGACCGGCTCGTCAAGGAGCTCAGCGCGCGCGAGAAGGCCCTGCATGTTCTCGTGAACAACGCCGGCGCCGCGTGGGGTTCGACCCTTGATGAGTATCCGGTAAGCTTGCCTACACTGCGCCTACCTGATACTTTTGTGCTCATTGCGGTCGCAACGCGCGCAGGACTCTGCGTGGACAAAGCTCCTCACGCTGAACCTCCAGCGCGTCTTCACGCTCACGCAGAAATGCCTACCTCTGCTTCGTGCCGGGGCGGAGCAGGGAGGAGTGGATGGTGATGCCTACCGCGATCCCGCTCGCATCATCAACGTAAGAGCTACCTCTAGAATATGCTGCTACCCGTGCTGACACTGGCATGTCACTAGATTGGCTCCATTGAAGGCCTTGTTGTGCCGGACCACGAGACGTACGCTTACTCGGCGTCGAAGGCAGGCCTGCACCACCTCAGCCGTCACTTGGCGGGTCGTCTCGGTAGCGAAGGCATCACTAGCAACACCCTCGCGTGTGGTGCGTCCGCTAGCTTGTTCATCAGGCATCCACACAGCCCTAACACTCATTCCCGCAGGCCCGTTCGAGAGCAAGAGTAGGCCCTGAGTTTGAGCTATCCCTCCGCATACAACCGCTGACCATGATAAATCCTTCTTTGCAGTGATGGCCCAGACGCTGCGCGAACACGGGGAGATCATCCGCGCGAGCATCCCGCTCGGTCGCATCGGTACAGCAGAGGACGTCGCAGGCGCATGCATCTTCCTCGCCAGCCGCGCTGGTGCGTGGATCAACGGTGCGACGATCCAGGTCGACGGCGGGAGCATCGTGCGTATGGGTTTCCGGATGCCTGCGGCGAAGCTGTAGGTCCGTTTGGCCGTGGATATGCTCGGAACTTCTTGTATACTGTACAACAACGATCTATTCCGGACGTACGGACATGTTGGGATACTCTGTTACTCTCTGCGACATTGGTTCGCAAACCAGGCTACATATTCGACCAGGTCAGAATAAAACAAAACGACACCAGCAGGATTCGAACCTGCGCTCCCGAAGGGAAACAGATGTTCAAACCATAGTTCGAATCTGTCGCCGTAACCACTTGGCTATGATGTCATGCCGGCGGGTTCGCCGCTGGCGGATATCATCATCATTCGGACAGCAAACAGCTGAAAGTACTCTTCTCCAGACCCCGATTGCACAAGAGACCCGAGTCGCATCATGTCTGCCGTCGGCCCACCTTACAAGCTCCTTACATCCCACCACATACTAAGCTCACAATTCTGCGAGAAACTTAGAGCTCGATCCTCGTTCTAGAGCCAACAATCGAGGACCATAAGGCAAAACACTACAGACTTGTATCTGGATCGCACCGGTCGAGACGAGCCGGGACTAGACCCGAATGGCGGACACAACTAGTGGTGCGCCCATATAAATGTCCCGCACACATCCAGTCGTTCTCACTCACTGTTCACCATCCTACCCATCCTCTCCCAAATCATCTCCATGGACGCCGCCCAGTCAGACAAACCGATGCGCCAACGCGTCGAGGAGTACATCTCGCAACTCCAGGATGACATTGTCGCCGCGTTTGAGAAGCTCGACCCGAACGCGCCCGCGTTCAAGCGCGACGAGTGGCTCCGCGCCCAGGGCGGCCGCGGCCGCTCGTGCGTGTTCGCCGTGCCCGTACCCCCCGCGGGCGTCGCCCCCCAAGAGACGGTGCTCGAGAAGGGCGGGGTGAACATCTCCGTCGTGCACGGGATGCTGCCCCCGCCCGCGATCAAGCAGATGCGCGCGGACCACTCCTCGATCCCGGACGTCCAGGGCAGCGTCCCGTTCTTCGCGGCCGGCATCAGCCTCGTCATCCACCCGCGCAACCCGCACGCGCCGACCGTGCACGCCAACTATCGCTACTTCGAGATCACCGAGCCCCCCACGGAGGCGGAGCAGGCCGCGGGCACCCCGGGGAAGCTCATCGCGTGGTGGTTCGGGGGCGGGTGCGACCTCACGCCGTCGTACCTGTACGAGGAGGACGCGGCGCACTTCCACCGGACGATCAAGGGCGCGTGCGACGCGCACGGCGCGGCGGTCTACCCCGCGTTCAAGAAGTGGTGCGACGAGTACTTCTTCATCCCGCACCGCGGCGAGGCGCGCGGGATCGGCGGCATCTTCTTCGACGACCTCTGCGACGAGGCGCACGCGCGCTTCGAGCCGGGCGACGCGCGCCCGAAGAGCCCCGAGGAGATCTTCGCGTTCGTCCGCGCGGCGGGCGACGCGTTCGTGCCGTCGTACCTCCCCATCCTCGAGCGCCGCGCGCGCACGCCGAGCGACGAGCACGAGCGCAGGTGGCAGCTCCTCCGCAGGGGGCGATACGTGGAGTTCAACCTGGTGTACGACCGTGGGACGAAGTTTGGGCTGATGACGCCCGGCGCGCGCATTGAGAGCATCCTCATGAGCTTGCCGGAGACGGCGCGGTGGGAGTACATGAGCGAGCTGGGAACGGACCCAGAGTCGCGGGAAGGGAAGCTCGTCGAGGTGCTCAAAAATGCTCGGGAGTGGGTATGATGGTCGGATGCGTGTGTTGGGAGAATACAAATAACGTGAGTACGATGGCCGTCTCGTCTCGCAGCAGTGTTTGGCTGACTATCACTCAGTCTCGTGTACAGTATCGTGGTCGCCATCCTAGATAGATTGGCATAGGTGTGCAATATCAACCCTACTCAGTAACCAGGTTCTCGTTGTACCAATTGCTTGCCAACGCTGCAAGGTGGTGTTATGACCTTACTCACCGCATGTTATCTGTTTGCAACGCGGATAGGGAGACATCCCATGGTCGGGTCGGATCCAGCGGCGTGAGGTTGTGGGGCCTACTGAGACTTTAACTGCATTGACTCAAAGCTATTTAAATGAATCTTAAGGGAGCTTCCCCGGGGAGTCTTTGTGACCGTACTGGCGAATGAGCAGGACGATCGGGCGCTAGTATAAGAACGGCGCATATGTTGAGGCGCCTTATATTCGCGCAATGTCGTTGTGTGTCCCTCCGAGTACGGTGTTGACTACGACATCCAGAGAACGGCCAACGGAGCGGAATGCAACGCCTGCGACGGCCACGACTTCAGTGGCGGGATTACTGTGAGGGGCACCCCGGGCCCTTCTCGAGGTTGTACGACATCGCCTGTTGCAGCGAAATTAAACGAGGGCTGGTCTCCGGCGATTGGAACACGACCTCATTAAGATGGAAGAAGGATTTGATAATGCGAAGGCCCGACGACATGACGATTCTCGTGCACACACATATGCATACCAAGTCGCATAGTATTACGAAGCGACGACACAGTCGAAAGCTACTCCCCACTATCAGTCTGTTGCTCTCGCCCCTGTACCCTTACCTCCCCGCTCCGAGCCCGTTTCTGGTCGGGCGAGATCATTCCCCTGGCGCTCGCCCATGGTAGGAAGAGCTGGCTCGGCTGTTCGTAAACGCTTGCTCCTTCTGGGAGGTGGTGGGTTTGAAGGTTGACGGAGACGTTTGCGGGACGCTGCCGGAGTTGGCCGTTGCACAAGGAGTGATGTATCGTTGTTCTTGATCTCAGAGCGCGGCGGTGCAACGAATGGAGTTCGAGAATCCTCGATAGTCCTAATGCGCTGGATTGGTTTGGTCGCCTTGTTATTGACCGCATTGTCCTTCTCTAGGTCACGTCTCTCTAGAAATTCGCCCCAGAAAGTATCAAGGTAGTCAGGGTTGCTCCACCGGTCCCACCACTCCCGTCTCAAGTGCCTCGGCGGAAAGTGGTAATTCATTACCGTATTCAGCCAATCAGCGATATTCTCCCTGTTGAAGTTGACGCGCTGCATCCACGTGCGGTTGCTAGCGTTGGCCAGCTTGGCATTCCCACCATGTAATTTGCCCGCGGCGTAGGAGGAGTAGTCGAAGAAATTGTAGATGAACGCGTGGAGGTCTTCTGGCTTGCGGATGTCGTGCGGGAGATGGAGGAGGCTACAGTAAAAGACCACGTAGAGCAGTGATTCCATGTCATCTTGTAGTGCGTGCCCACGCTCGGGGTTCTCTAAGATTTTCATCGACATGAATCTCCAAGTACCCTACAATACCGATGTGAGTTGGCCTAACGGCTGCGAATCGCCATACGGAGTGCAACTGCTCACCGTTCGAACGCGCTCGAACGCGTGTCCATGTTCGTCAACTTTGTCGGACGTTTCCCAGTCAATCAAGTAGCCTTTCCTCGGCGAGCCATCGACCTCTTGTACCAGTATGATGTTGCCGACACTAATATCCCTGTGTATCCTCGAGACCTTATCGGACGCGTCGCGCATGGCTGACGATGACATGTTCAGAGGCGCTCAAATGGCATCCGAATGGCGTGAACGTACCATGAAAGACATCGTAGGTGGCGCTCAGAAGCTCCTGAGTGCCCCTAAACCTCTCCAGGCCATATCCAGCTTCGCTAACCACCAACCGATAGTGAATATGTGTGGACAAAGCTACTTTCTTGCCGAGAACGGGACAAGCCCACGATTTATTGCAGTAGTGATCCGTCTTCGTATGCTGTACACCCCGCACTCAATTTGCTGTTAGCCAGGTCAGGTCAATGGTAGGTAGAAGGACGTACGGGTGATCTTCTTCTGGGCTGGCGGTGCCTTGAAGTAGACATCGCCGTGGGCTATGACGGTCGGAACGTTGCGCACTCCCGCAGCATTCAGCCCCGAGATCACTGTCCCTTCCTGATCACCCGGCAGCCGCCAAGTATCCTTCATGAAAACCACCCTCCCAGTTCCTAGCTGCACCGCCCAATACCCACGTGTGCACCTCCCGCTGACATACAAGGGCACCGTGACTGGCCTAGACACCAGAAAGCGTTCAGTGCCCCCTGCGCGGTCTGGATTCTGCAAGTCGACTGTGTGAACATGCATGACCATGACGTGCCCAGGTTCGTAGTGTTCGACAATAGCTTGGGCCAATGCATCCCCTTCGACGCCCAACTGCTCTTGGACATGCTGCGTGACCGTATCTCGGAAGAGCGTTTCTTCTTCAGGTGTAGCCATCTCGACCGTCTCGTCGTGCCCACGCTTCGTGGGCGACGCGTACGCGAAGCGAGCCAGAAAGTCACAGAGCAGGTCTGGGCGTTCGCGGATGTCGAATGAACGGCTCACGATGAGTCCCGACCTATCCCAGCGGCAGAGACGGGCAGTAGAACCAGCCATGGTGATCGAGAATACGAACGTGCGGTGCTGGCGTGCGAGGATCTCCGTGGTGTACACGATGTGCTGCCCGAACGACCGGTCGACGCGTGCTTTGATCTTGTCCTTGCCATATCGTGCAACGAATTCGTGGGCTGCGATAGCTTCGGCGGTCGCATCGGAAGGCGGGTCGACGAAGAAGTCGAGGAATACGTCCGGCTTGATCTCAATGAAGAGCTCAGCGTACCCGAGATCTGCACGGGAAGTAATGGGGGTCTGTCGAACTGCTTCTGCGTTGGCGGCCGTGTAGCAACAGATGTGAGGCTTCATGAATCCGGGTTCGTGTGGCTGCTCGGAACGAACAGATGCGTTCTCGAACACAAGCCCCGGGGCACGACTCTTGCGTTTTGTCGACTTGTTCAACGCGTCGAGCTGAGTTCGGATAGTAAGAACTAGCTCATCTTGACCGTATGTATCACACACCAGTGGTTCAAAAATCTCCCTCGGCGTCAGAGCTCCATGCGGTATTGTACTGAATGCTCTCCTGCTCGACAAGATCTCGTTCCTGTGCTCTGGCGGTACTGGAGGTAAGAATTCCTCAATAAACTGTTCGACTGGCATCGGTCCGACGGTGTAGCTCCGTGAGTCCCGTAGGTGCTGTTTCATGCGAGCATCTCCGCTACTTGGGTTGAGTCCCCTGGTACAGGCGTGGCCGTCGTCGATAGGCATTGGCACATGGTATACACAGCCAGGAGTGTCAGTCATGACGTCTCAGTTTACAAACACAATGTCAGGAGTGTGAGGGTATGTCGCAAGTTGGCCGTGTTGAATTGAGCAGTATCGCTGGCCATACGGTGGCAATTACCCTTTACTGATGCAACAGGTATCATGCCAATGGGCACATCGGGCGCACGGGAAAACAG